TCACGTGTGTGTGTGTTCACGTGTGTGTGTGTATACGTGTGTGTGTGTGGCAAAACAACCTCTTATCTCCTCGCGGTGCCGGACGGGCAACACTGTCGTGGACAGTGCTGTGGGGCGGGGGGGGGGGGGGCAATGCCTCATTGGCCTCTCCCCTCATGGCATCTGTGACCACCACAGTGGCTAAACGGGGGCTCTGGACGGGTGCGAGGGGCTGGTAACCCCTCCACCTTCAATTAATTACCACGAAACTACGAATTAAACATAAACCTTTAACAAATAAGCTTGTGCCGGAGGCCCCGGGGGGACAGGCGTCTATGACGTCTCCTGGCCAAATCCCAATTGGCGGAGCCAGGAGATTGAATCGTCACCCTCGGGGCTCCTCCAGAAACAACGAAAAGCCATTACGGATAGCCACGTGGAATGTTCGAACGCTCACTGCGGAGGAGAGGCTGCCACTCCTTTGTCGGGAGCTGGACCGGTACCGCCTGGATCTCTGTGGCATTCAGGAGGTCCGGTGGACTGGTTCTGGCTCCTGCCACCATGAGTGGTGGACAGTCCTCTACTCGGGGCAGGAGACTGCCAAACAACAGGGTGTGGCTCTTCTTTTGAACAAAAGAATGAAGGGGGCGTGGGAACGTGGCGGTGAGGTGTGGGAAGCTGAAAGCCCCAGGATTCTTTGGGCTCGCCTTCCCATCAACCGGAGGCGAGGAGTGGTGGTCGTGGTTACTTATGCCCCCACCGAAGACGAACATCCATGGAGGGATGCAGGCAAAGCCGATGAGTCAGATGCCTTCTATGACCTCCTGTCACAGGTGCTGGCTAAAGTGGCCACTCGGGACAGAGTCATCTTGTTGGGTGACTTCAATGCCCGAGTTGGTCATGATGCTGGCACCTGGTCTGGAGTGATTGGAAGGCATGAGACAGATCAGCTCAATAACAACGGTAGGAGGCTGCTAGATTTTTGTGCACCCCATGGGCTTGTAATTACCAACACGCTCTTCCGGCATCGGCGCATCCACACAACATCATGGATGCATGCCGGGTCCAAGCAAGAACATCTGCTGGACTACATAATGACGGACCAGCGGATGCGAGCCCATGTCCTTGACACCAGGACCTACCGTGGAGCTGATCTGCCCTCTGACCATCTACTAGTCATCTGTAAGATGCGCCTGCCATTCTTCCACTTCGGTGGTGGGTGTACACCCAGGACCCCATTCAAACCAAAAGTGGCCTGGTCTCAGTTAGCTTGCAGCTGGGGTTGGCATCGTACCCCACTCCTCCTGATGTCGAGGGTAAATGGGCGAGGTTTAGGACTGTGACTCATGCAGCTGCAATGGCTGCTTTTGGTACGCGGTCCAGACCTCCCCAGAAACCCTGGCTGACAGAGGAGGTGTTCAGGTTAGTTGAGAAAAAGCGACAGGCCCACTCTCATCGGCTACAGCATCCCACGTCAGAGAATGAGGAGGTTTACCGCAGCCTTCGCTCGGAGGTTCGGAGAGCGCTGCAAGGATGGGTGGTGGTCGCGGGTTGCTGAGGAGATGGAGTCTGCCTCAGTGGCCCGCGATCACAAATCACTATTTAATTCCATCAAAAAAGTAACCTGCAGCGCCACACCTATTACCATCATTAGGGGAAAAAACAGTGATCCAATCTCAGACCCCCAGGAACAGGTTTGCAGATTTGCTGAGCATTTCTGTGAGGTCCTGGGGGAGGGGAAATCCCTCAGCCAGGAAAACATAATGGCACAAAGTGGGGATAACCCTGCTGAGGCTGCGGTTCCTCAAATTTTGGAGGAGGTCACCCCCTATGAGTGGCTGGCTGAGGTGCCATCTGTTGAGGAAGTACTGAAGGCGATCCGGAGTCTGAGACTAGGAAAGGCACCGGGCAGAGATGATCTCCCAAGCGAAATGCTCAGGGAGGGTGGCGTTTGTGCACAGACTGTCCTACATGACATCATAACAACAGTCTGGACCACTGGTCAGGTTCCGCAGGATTGGAAGGATGCCCTGGTGGTCCCCCTCTTTAAGAAGGGGGACCGCATAGACTGTAACAACTACAGGGGCATCTCACTCCTCAGTGTGCCGGGAAAGGTCCTGGCAAGGATTATTCAACATCGCCTTGCTAGGCACGCTGAGGAGGGGCTTGCGGAGCCCCAATGCGGTTTCAGGAAAGGACGGTCCTGCACAGATGCCATATTTTTTGTCCGTCTGCTACAGCTGAGATGTAGGGAATTCCAACAAGACCTACGTCTCTGCTTTATTGACCTGGTCAAGGCCTATGATACCATCAGTAAGCCTGGTCTCTGGGTTGTTCTTCGTGCTTTTGGAGTCCCTGACCCTCTGCTCACGATCATTAAGGACCTTCATGATGGTGAGCGGGCCCGGGTAAAACTACGTGGCCGGGAGTCGGAGCCTTTCCCTGTACACCTTGGGGTGCGGCAGGGATGTCCTCCACCTCCCACATTATTTAACATCTATTTTGACCGCGTAGTTCGTGAAGCCTTCAATTGCTGTACCGGGGGAATTTCCATTTGGTCCAGATATAATGGGAGGCTGATCGATGCCCGGGTGCGATCAAGGGATGGCTCCCTATTGGTCAACCACGTTATGTATGCTGATGATTTGGTAATAGCTGCTCATTCAGAGGAGGAGTTGGAGATGCTGCTGCTGAGACTGGAGCGTGCCACTAAGAGGTGGGGCCTTACCATCAGCCCCACCAAAACTAAGCACCTGCCTGGGTATTTTCTTCCATCGGACACTCCACCCCCACAACTCCCAATCGGTGATGGGGCAGTAGTGGAGAGAGTGGAGAGTTTCCCATACCTTGGCAGTGTGCTTATGACCGGCTCCAGTTTAACAGCAGAGGTCTCACTCCGAATCAGTCGAGCGGCAATATCTTTTCATCGGTTGCGTAACGTTGTGTGGAAGCTACCTGGTCTGTCGCTCTGCACGAAGCTTCAGGTCTTCTCGGCTACTGTCATTCCATCCCTTCTCTACGCTTGGAAACGTGGACCCCCCTAATGGAGCATCTTCGCCGGTTGGAAACATTTAGGCTGGCCTGCCTACGATCCATCCTGGGTTTAACCAGGCTGGATTGTGTTAGGAGCTCACAAATCCTTGAAAGATCTGGGCAAAGTCCCATCGGTGAGCTCCTCCGGCAGGCAAGGCTGCGTTGGCTGGGTCATGTAGCCCGCATGCCCAGCGTGTGTGTATTCACGTGTGTGTGTTCACGTGTGCGTGTGTCTACACGTGTGTGCGTGTGTGTGTTCACGTGTGTGTGTTCACTTGTGCGTGTGTCTAAACGTGTGTGCGTGTGTGCGTGTGTCACTGATGGATTGTTCGGCGCTCTCTTCCCCGCCGCTCCGTGCTTCCTTGAATCCTAATCAGCTGAGCTCGGGGTTTTTTTTGCATCCTCGCCACCGCGTTTTCTCGTTCGCAGCAGCTTTATTCGATCCCTTGTATTTATTTATAATACAACTACTATTCTAATATTCTTATAATAATTATTTATTTACCCCTCCCCCCTCCTCCCGCCCCCTACCTATAATCCGCGCGTGTCATATGCACGGGGCTTGTAGCTGCATCTTCTACATTAAAAATCGGTAGTGGAGTGGTTAGCCTTTTATTATGAACCTTGCACTGACCGGCGTGGTGAAGTATGGTCAAAACAATTCCCACGATCCGATATGCGTGAGCGCGTATCGAGCCCCGCCCACTGGCTTCGCAGAGCAGTGCGCTGACCGTTGTGCCACCGTTCCCCCAAAGATCTCCCAAAGATCCCCCAATGATCCCCTGTGTAGGTTTTTGCCGACAAGTGCTGCCAGCGAGCACTCATGAAGGTCCGCCTTTGTCTCCCCAGTGGCGATGCTTACGCAACGCACCAGGAGTTCATTTGAGGCTGAGTCGACCTAGGGGAGGCCCAGGACCGGTTGAGATAATCATCACCGGTGTTAGTGGCCGTGAGCTGGAATCGAACTCGGATCGCCGCGCTAACCACTACGCTACCGCTCCCCACTACGCTACCGCTCCCCACACACATACACACACACGCACCTACATACCAACACACACGTACACACACCTACACACCTATTACCACTGGCTCTACGTCTCCGCTGATCTCTACTCTCTAGTGAGTGAATGGGCCAGTGGATTGACAAATGGATCGAAATTTTACGGTTCCTTTATAGGATTTGCAGGATTCAGTATTGGTCAGTGCCTGAGGCTCACCCAACCAGAATAAGGCAGAGCTCGGATGCCAGGGGTTCTCTTCTGTCGCCCACAAAAGATGTTAAAGCCGGACTCGAGGGTGGCATGGCCGTGTGAAAACCACTCCGTAAACCACATTTTTATTCCATGTCACTTTACTGTTACCTCTGTTCATCTGTCTGTCCGTTTGTCCGTGTGTCTGTAACGTGGGAGGGGGTCACAATAGTCCTTGTAGATAACTGAAACTTTAATATACAGTTGTGTTGCCACCAAGGACCTAACCTTACTAGCTGGCTGTGTCGGGTGGTGGTGGGTTAACGACACATTTCTATTGACGCGATCTAACCCCAAAAAAACCCCCTTTAAAGTGTAAGAGCTGCTTAGCTTCTGAGACCGGGTGCATTACGGATGATTTGTGCTACAGTTTTATCATCATGCTTCGGTTTTGCTTTCACTTAAATTTGCGTGGGGGGGGGGGGGCGGAGCGGTGGTACAGTAGTTAGAGCACTGCCCTATGACCGAGTTAGATTTTGGGACGTGGGTAACACCAGCGGTGAGCGATGTCCGAACCGACCCCGCGTATTCCCCACCCTTCAGCAACCCGCACTCATCAGTGCGGCGAGGTGTGGTTAAACAACACCGATGACCGACACGGCATAGGGTAGCCTTTCATCCAGCAGTGGATTGACACAGTGCCACCGATCCCCTAATCAAAACCCCGCCCAACACTTAATTCTGCTTCCTTCCCTCTCTGCCCCTCTCTCCTCTCTCTCTCTCCCATCTCCCCAGACACCATCAGAGTTGAACCACAGGGACACCTCAACTGACCTCAAGCCCAGCGCTGTGGCTGGGGCAAGGCAGACGCGGCAGGGCAAGGTCAAAGGTAGAGCTGGAGCAAGGTGGAGCATCAGCTGCTCCAGGATGCGGTGGAGAACGCGACAACAGCAGCAGCAGCAGCGTCACCGATGGACAACGAAGGCGGCAGTGAGCGGAGGTCGCCTCACCGGAGCGGCCCTCGCCGTGCTCGCTTGTCTCGTGAGCGTGCACGCCGAGCGACACATCCACAGGTGAGAGATCCTCACCCAGCCACCCAGCCACCCAGCCACCCAGCCACCCAGCCACCCAGCCACCCACCCACCCAGCCACCCAGTCACCCAGTCACCCACCCAACTAGCCACCCAGCCACCCAGCCTCCCACCCACCCAGCCACCCACCCAACTAGCCACCCACCCACCCAGCCACCCACTCACCCAGCCACCCAGCCACCCAGCCACCCAGCCACCCAGCCACCCACCCACCCAGCCACCCAGTCACCCAGTCACCCACCCAACTAGCCACCCAGCCACCCAGCCTCCCACCCACCCAGCCACCCACCCAACTAGCCACCCACCCACCCAGCCACCCAGCCACCCAGCCACCCAGCCACCCAGCCACCCAGCCACCCAGCCACCCACCCACCCAGCCACCCAGTCACCCACCCAACTAGCCACCCAGCCACCCAGCCTCCCACCCACCCAGCCACCCACCCAACTAGCCACCCACCCACCCAGCCACCCACTCACCCAGCCACCCACCCAACTAGCCACTCACCCACCCAGCCACCCACCAAACCACCCAGCCACTCACCCAGCCACCCAGCCAACCACTCATCCACCCAGCTACCCAGTCACCCACTCAGCCACCCAACCAGCCACCCAGCCACCCACCCACCCAGCCACTCACCCACCCAATCAGCCACCCACCCAACCACCCAACCACCCACCCAGCCACCCACCCACCAAACCAACCAGCCACTCACCCACCCAGCCACCCAGCCAGCCAGTCACTCACTCACCCAACCACCCACCTAACCAGCCACCCAGCCACCCACTCACCCACCCAATCATCCACCCACCCACCCACCCAACCATCCATCCATCCACCCACCCACCCACCCAACTAGCCACCCACCCACCTAGCCAGCAACCCAACCAGCCACCCACCCACCCACCAAACCAGCCACCCACCCACCCAACCGAGTGAGTGGAATTCGAACCGCAGACCTTTGCAGGACAAGCGATGATCGGTCCTGGCGCAGCGTCACCGCCGCACCGAATGTACTCTCTCTCCCCGCGACGTTGGCCACGAAATTGCAACGCCGCATTGCGTGGACGGTCGTGCACCGTGCGTTCGTGTCACCACCACCAAAGACAAAGATCCCCCCCCCGTGTAGCCTTCACAGGCTGTTGGGGCATGTGCGGTTAGCGTGCGCCTATGAGGGCCGGCACAGCACACGTGGGGGTGGATGGCCATCACCACGCCCGGCCGCCTTTGTCTCCCCAGAGGCGTTGTTTACACACTGCACCAGGCACTCATTTGAGTCTGAGTTGACCTAGGGGAGGCCCAGAACCGGTTCAAATTATCGCTTCTCGTGTTGACCATGAGCGGGAAATCGAACTCGGGTGGCCGAGTTCGCAGTGCAGTGCACTAAGCGCTACACTACCACTCCCACCACCACCACAATCATCATCATCATCAATCATCGGCTTTTTTTGTTATCGCGTGTTTCAAAGCGAATCTCTCAAATCGCCCACACACATCACAGCTCCACCAGTGCAGAAATAACTGCACGTGCGTCAACTCGAAGAGGGAAAAAAAAGAACCGCGTCATTACGGACGAACGCTAAACCGAGATGGGAATTTTTGTCACGGCCTCTCCGTGCGGCGAGAATTGGCGAGAGACATTGCGACGCTTGGAGAAGGGAGCGAGGGGAGAGCGACGAGAGATGGACCCTTGACGTCGGAGCAACCGCTGTTAAAACTCCACAACTTCATCTTCTTGGTTCTTTCGGTAAAGTCACGTAGAAGGGAAGTAATAAAATAATAAAAATTAAACATAATAAAATAATTCTCACGACGTTTCGGCCACAACGCAAGCAGCCGTCCTCGCCACAACGCAAGCAGCCGTCCTCAAACGTCGTGAGAATTATTTTATTATGTTTTATTTTTATTATTTTATTACTTCCCTTCTACGTGACTTTACCGAAAGAACCAAGAAGATGAATCCCTGCCGTCACGAAAGCTTTAAATCGAAACTCCACAACTTCCCAAAAGCTTTTCTTTTTTACAAATCTGCCAATCTAGCTTGCTCGCTCGCGCTGCGGAGACCGTCAGCTTTGCTCGCTGTTAAGTGCGCGCGGAAGCTCGCGAGTAACGCCGGGCTTTGAAACGTCGCCGACACATCCGACACCGCGCAAACGTGCGTCGCGAACACAGCGGAGTCGCGTAGATCAGTGACGAGTCGTCTACACACCCCCACCCCCCCCCCCTGGAATGTGTAAACGTTCGAGCGCGTGATTGTGTGCCGGAGACGCGGAGCGATCTTGCGACTCCTCTCGGTCGGCCGATTCAACGATGTGATCGTGACCCGCGGTTTTTGCGGTGTCGGATCAACGATCGAAATTTGTTTTGTTGGTTTTCAAGCGTCGCTGTGGCACGCGGTCATGGCGGGGGGGGGGCGGTCTCGGTCCGGCAGTAGATGGACCATGGCTGCTGACATGGATGACGATGCAAACAATGACGGAGAAATGTACAACCGTCGGTTTCATCCGCTGAAATGGACGAAGGCCCCCGTCCAACCGCGCAGCGTTGGTCACGGGGCTTTGTCTGGCCATACTTCACCACGTGGGTCCAGCGCGCGTCGGCGGAGTCAGGGCTTGCGCTGCGTCGTTCACGGGCGGCTCATTGACATCACCGGGTTCAAAGCGCAGCGCGCTAACCGCTGCGCCACCGCTCCAACCCCCACCGCGGCATTTTAACCGAATTAAGGGGGATCGAATTAAGGGGGTGGTCGCGTGGCAGTCCGCTCCGTGATGCTGAGTAACGCTCACCGTTCTATACGATGATCACTTCGTCTTACTCTTCGGTTTTCTCTCTCTCAAAGTTAGTTCTACCTGATGACGGTTGCTTGTGTTGCCATCGAAACGTCGTACTCTATTATTATTTTATCTACGTGACTTTACCGAAAGAACCAAAGAGTAATCCCTGCAGTCACGTAAGCTTCAAATCACGTCGTCTTGTCTATCGTGTCGTTGCACCCGTTCGTCTGCGTAAACCCCTCACGTGCCCCATCTCGTTCTGTCTCTCGTGCTACGTGAACCGGTAGGTGACATTTGCATAACTTGTGCATGCGATTAACATACATTGCAAACTATTCTCTCCAAGCGCGTAATGTGAGTGGAGAGTGGCCGCGGGCCTCAGAGGTCACAGCGGAGCAGAGATCCAGGATCCGAGTTCCTGGTTTTTGCGTCCACCCAAAGACAAAGATTCCCCGTGGAGCCTACACAGGCTGTTGGGGCCAAGTTCTGTTTAGCGAGCAGCTATGAACGGCGACAAGGTGGCTGAGTGGGGTGGTGTGGCCAACACCACGCCCGAACGCCTTTGTCACCCCAGTGGCGATGATGTTAACACTCTGCAGTGAGTACTCATTTTAGCAGCAGCCCCCAGCGGCAACAGTTGAGTCGCGCTGAGCGCGCTGTGACCCGATTTCGACCCCCACTCACAGCCACTAACACCAGTGACGATTATCTGAACTCGTCCTGGGGCTCCCCAAGATCAAATCACGCAAACCAAAGACAAAGATCCCCCGTATAGCCTCAACATACCGTTGGGGCAAGTGCTGTTTGCGAGAACCTATGAAGGTCGGCGCGGAACAACGAGGGGGTGGGTGGGTGGCAAACACTCACGCCCGGCCGCCTTTGTCTCCCCCAGTGGCGATGTTTACACACACACACAGCAGCACCAGCCATTAATTTGAAGCTGAGTCGACCTAGGGGAGGTAGGGCCCATGACCGATCCGCACACTCGCCACGCTGACTCACTCTCTCGCCTCGCGCCCGACAGATTCCCGTCGGAAAACCCCGCGTGGCCTCTCAACCACCTCGCGGTGCACGAGCGCACGGGCGCCGTGTACGTGGGCGGCGTGAACCGCGTGTACCGCCTGGCGGGCGACCTGCGGCTGGGACGCGCGCACGAGACGGGCCCCGCGCGCGACAACCGCGACTGCTACCCGCCGCCGATGGTGGAGGCGTGCAGGCGCGAGCCGGCGCCCACCGACAACGTCAACAAGCTGCTGCTCCTCGACTACGCGGGCGACCGACTGCTGGCGTGCGGCAGCGTCTACCAGGGCGTGTGCCAGCTGCTCAAGCCCGACGACCTCTTCAAGCTCGGCGAGCCCATGCACCGCTCCGAGCACTACCTCTCGAGCGTCAACGACAGCGCCACGATGTTTGGCTTCGTCGTGCCGCGGCGCGGCGGCGGTGGCGGCGGTGCTGGAGGAGGAGGCGGAGGAGGGGGGCGGACGGTGGGCGAGGACGGTGGTGGCGCGGTGCCGGATGATCGCGCGGCGGCTGCGGCAGCGGCGGCGGCATCGGAGGACGATTCGACGCGCGCGACGCCGCGGCCGCCGTTTCCGTCGGACGCGTCGAACGTCGGATCGACGACGATCACCCAGCAGCAGCAGCAGCAGCAGCAGGAGGGGTCGGAGCGGCGGCCGCGGCAGGACGAGTCGAGCGGCGAGAGCGTGCTGTTCGTGGGCACCCCCGTGGGCGGCAAGGTGGACTACTTCCCGACGCTGTCGAGCCGCACGCTGAAGAGGGACGCGGAGGACGCGGACATGTTCGGCTACGTCTACCACGACGAGTTCGTGTCGTCGCAGCTCAAGATCCCGTCGGACACGTTGTCGTCGTTCCCGGGCTTCGATATCTACTACGTCTACGGCTTCCAGAGCGGCGGCTTCGTCTACTTCCTCACGGTGCAGCCCGACACGAGGAAGCTGTCGAGCGACGCCGAGCGGAGGTCGCACTTCGCCTCCAAGATCGTGCGTCTGTGCGAGGGCGACACTCACTTCTACTCCTACGTGGAGCTGCCCATCGCCTGCGTCAAGGGTAACGTTCCCTCCTTCGTTCGTTCATTCATTCATTTTGTCCGCCACGCGTGAGTCCGTGGAACAAACGTGTAACGTCGCGGCGACAGCGTTCGCGTAAACTGCTCTTGCTGTCATGCTGCAGTGTCGATCCGTTTGAGGGTCGCGGTCTGCTTCGAACGTCGAACGCCGACTGAAGTGGCCGGGTTTCTTGCTGGAGTTTGCGCATCAAAGACGGGGGCGACGCGTCCAAAAGAGTGACACGGCCGTCTCCGTAGAGCTGAGCTCCCGCTCGCTGGGAGACCGCTCGCAGACGAAGTCGAACAATCAGACGCCAAAGAAGGCGTCTTTGGGATCGCATGTGGATGGGTAACTCTGCGTAAAAAAAACGTTGTTTTTATGTTACCAGGTGAGGCCCACTGGGCTATATAGGTCTTTATCAGAAGCGACCTGCCACCAAATGATAGCTCAGCGAAGTGCCTTATCACGTGAAAATGTATAGCAGCCAAATACTCCAAACGCGTGATGTTGATTCTAAATGTCGAGGGGAAAACCGGAGGACCCGGAGAAAAATCCACGCGATCTTGCGGAGAGATACACGCAAACTCCACATATACAGGCGTCAGGGTCGGGGTCGAGCCCACGACCTCCCGCAGAACAGGCGAGGGAGACAAGACCCCACCACCGCTGCGTTCGCAATTCCCATCCCCTGCTCATTGCGAACGAAGGCAGCAATACATGACTACAAGGAGCGCCGCCATGGCGAGATGGTTTTCTCCCTCGGCCTGGTATGCAGGAGGTCGTGAGTTTGATCCCGACCCTGACGCCTGCTAAATATTTGTAGTTTCCGTGTTCTCTCCCCATGGTCGCGTGGATATTTCTTCAACGTGCGTTTTTTAAAAAAATCTTTGGCTGCTATAAATTTCCACGTGATAAGCCACTTCGCTGAGCTATAATTTGTTGGCCGGGTCACTTCTGAAAATAACTATATATATATAGCTGGTAAAATAAAGCAAAACAGTTTAGTTCGAGTTCAGTTTACGCACCCGGAGGTTGATGCCGATGTCGAGGCCCCCGCTGCCACTGCTGCTGTTGGCAACGACGAGAGGGCTTCAGCAGAGAGAGAGTTCACGTCTTCTTGCTATTCCTCCTTCTCCTCCTCCGTCGTAGGAGCGCGGACCACAGTCGTCTACAATATGCTCCATCGTTTGAAGCGCGATTTACACTGCATGCGTGCATATTTCGCGAATCGGACGCAATGTTCCATCGACGACTCGGACGCACGGAGCCAGATTTTGAAGTCCCCCTCCCCAGCCTGGAGAGATGAGGGCCTGAACGGGCGAGAGCCTTGGCGGGTGACAGCATTGAACTACTACTTGAAGATTAATTTTCTCGGTGGCAGCTGCTATTGCAACTGCTGCTGCAACTGCTGCTGCTACTGCTGCTGCTACTGCTGCTGCTACTGCTACCGCTGCTGCTATTGCTACTGCTGCTGCTGCTACCGCTGTTGCTACTACTGCTGCTGCTGCTGCTACTACTGCTGCTGCTGCTACTGCTGCTACTGCTACCGCTGCGTGTGCGTGCACTGGGCTAGAGGGTTCCAGACGCGCTGCTGCCGGTGCAGCTGCAGAGAAAAACGCCTGCTCGGCCAGCACGGTGTCGCTTCGTGGGGCGGTGGGCAGGTTGTTAGACGAAGCTCCTTAGGACGCGGTGGCGGTGTGCCGTGGTCGGTGGAGCGAGAAGGGAAGGGGAGCTTTGGGCGGGGGACCCTGAGAGAGAGATGGAACTCGATGGCACAGCATCGCGATTTTGCACCGTGTCCTGAGTTTGATGGGAATTCGTTTTTTCTTATTCTTGCTTTTGGTTCTCAAGCTGACTGGCAGCTTTACCCGATTACATGCTCCCATGTCAGATATATAATTTAGCATCGGCATACCAATGTGCAGTTAAAGAAATGGCTCCACTTTCTTGAATCCACCCCTCCACCCACCCGAGGTCTCTGCCCACTCCGACCTCTGCCCACCCCGACCTCTGTAGTGGAAGCACAGTGACGAGAGCGAGCAATTGCAGGGCTGCGCCTTCATCTGTTGTTCAAAAATACTTAATGCTGGAGTCTCGCTCGGAATGCGCAGATCTCATCAGTTTTCCGAGGCTTTCACTGTGCCTTGCAATTAAGATTTCACGATTTAACGGAACGGCAAATCCTGTAGTAACAAGGCCATGCAATCTCTTGTCGGAGACAGACATTCGTTTTTTTTTTAAAGCAACGGCCACTTGTTATTTAAATTAGAAGCAGACGCGGGCTGGACTTCCTGACATCTAGGGACCCCCTGGGATGTTTCTTTTTTTCCTGAGCTGAGCATCTGTGCGATGTGTGATACGATGGCTGCTGCTACTACTGGTGCTACTACTGCAGATACTCCTGCTGTCACTGCTGCTGTCACTGCTGCTGTCACTGCTGCTGCTCTTACGACTACTGCTGCTACTATTACTGCTGCTATCACTTGCTGCTACGTGTTAAGCTACTGTTGCAACGGCTCCTGATACTGCTGCTACTATTGCTGCTGTCACTACTGCTCCTACTACTGCTGCTACTGCTTCTGCCACGACTTCTTGCTGCCACTACTGCTGCTCCTGCTACCATTGCTGCTGCTACTGCTGCTGTTACTCCTGCCGCCTCGAATTCTTGCTGCTACTACTGCTACTGTTCCTACAACTGCTACTACTGACCCTGCTACTACTGCTACTACTTCTGCTGCCACAACTCCTTAATGCCACTGCTGCTACTGCTCCTACTACTGCTACTACTGAGCCTGCTACTGCTCGTGCTACTACTGCTGCTACTATTGCTGCCACTACTGCTCCTACTACTGCTACTACTGACCCTGCAACTGCTCGTGCTACTACTACTGCAACTACTCATGCCACGACTTCTTGCTGCCACGACTGCTACAGCTCCTACTACTGCTACTACTGACCCTGCAACTGCTCGTGCTACTACTACTGCAACTACTCATGCCACGACTTCTTGCTGCCACGACTGCTACTGCTCCTACTACTGCTACTACTGACCCTGCAACTGCTCGTGCTACTACTACTGCAACTACTCATGCCACGACTTCTTGCTGCCACGACTGCTACTGCTCCTACTACGGCTACTACTGACACTGCTACTGCTCGTGCTACTGCTGCTGCAACTACTCATGCCACGAGTTCTCGCTGCCACGACTGCTACTGCTCCTACTACTGAGCCTGCTATTGCTCGTGCTACTACTGCTGCAACTACTCATGTCACGACTCCTCGCTGCCACTGCTGCTACTGCTCCTACTACTGCTACTACTGACCCTGCTACTGCTCGTGCTACTACTACTGCAACTACTCATGCCACGACTTCTTGCTGCCACGACTGCTACTTTTCCTACTACGGCTAATACTGAGCCTGCTACTGCTCGTGCTACTACTGCTGCTACTACTCATGCCACGTCTTCTCGCTGCCACTACCGCTGCTGCTGCTTCCTACTTACCGCCGCTGCCACCCTCACTCAACCACGTGCTGCCCTTCCACAATTCCCCTCCCCTGCATACCCCCCCCCCTCCCCCCTTGCACAGACGGTGTGGAGTACACCTTGCTGGAGGCGGCCTTCACCGCACCGCAGGGGGCCGGCCTGGCGGCGTCGCTGGGCCTCGACGTGACCGAGGACGTGACGCTCGCCGTGTTCTCGCGTGACCGGCGAGACCGTTCGAGTCCGCCGGGCGACACGGCGCTGTGCGCCTTCCCGCTGCGCGACGTCAACCGCAGGATCCGCGAGCGCATCCGGGACTGCTACCTGGGGCAGGGTCGCCTCGAGCTGGGCTGGCACATCAAGAAGGACATACCTTGCTGGTACGCGGTAAGTCTTGCCGCGTGGCACGCGCTGGTGGTGGTTGCCGTGGTGGTGTTTTGTTGGCCACGGTGGCGAGATATTAACTGCCTCGACTGGTATGCAGGAGGTCGTGGGTTCGATCCGGACCTTGACGCCTGCTGCTGTATATTTGGAGTGTTTTTCTCCCCGTGGTCGCGTAGATTTTTCTCCGGGTCCTGCGGTTTTTCCCTCCACATTTAGAAACACACGTTTAGAGTATTTGGCTGCAATACATTTCCACGTGATGAGCCACTTCTTTCGACCATCATTTGTGACCAGGTCGCTTCTGAAATAGAACTATAAAACTCAGTGGGAATTACCTGGTAAAATAAAAAAAAATCTATATTTAAATAGTTTATAGTTTTAGCGGTGTTACCGCTGTACGAATATATGTTGAACTTCTTTCGCACCATGTGGCCAACCGCGCTTATCAGTTGTGCGGGGGAAGGGCAACAAACTAAACACACAAATCAGTTCTAAAGAAATAAGTTTTCAATCTGGATGATAATTTAAAAGTGCCTAGCTCCAGTGGCTTCCTAATATTGGAAGGAAGAGCGTTCCAGACGGCCGCAGAAGCGCATTTGAAAGCACGATGCAGTGTCCGATGGGTAGCCAAACAGCCGCTGCGAGGATGAGCAGAGATCGCGTGATGTTTTACTGCTTCTACTTCTCTCGTTTACTCTCCTGGATGTTAAAGCACCCGGTGGTGTTATTAGGCAAAGTGTAAAGGACACGGTCCCAATTTGCCTATTCATGAAAATGACTCGCAAATTACTTAATTATGTGGGGGAAACACATGCTCGAGTATCATCTTACCCGTACTAGCAGTCTAATGCCCATCTGGCGAGATTTAACAACGCGAAAATATGCTAATTGTATATGCAAAACATTTAAATGTATTTGTTTTACATTCTGTACGAATGTTTAGGAATATTTCTGTTGTGAACCCTCGACATTTACAGACTTGAATTATTATTGCCCATTTGGCTTCAAGATCAACTCGGGCAAACGGCGAAGCTTCCTGGGTAGTGGGCGGGGCTACCTGGGTAGTGGGCGGGGCTAGTACCTGAATAGAAGGGCGGGGCTAGTACCTGGGTAGTGGGCGGAGCTAGTACCTGAATAGTGGGCGGGGCTACTTGGGTAGTGGGCGGGGCTACCTGGGTAGTGGGCGGGGCTACCTGGGTAGTGGGCGGGGCTACCTGGGTAGTGGGCGGGGCTAGTACCTGGGTAGTGGGCGGGGCTACCTGGGTAGTGGGCGGGGCTACCTGGGTAGTGGGCTGGGCTAGTACCTGGGTAGTGGGCTGGGCTACCTGGACAGTGGGCGGGGCTAGTTCCTGAATAGTGGGCGGGGCTACCTGGATAGTGGGTGGGGTTAGTACCTGGACAGTGGGCGGGGCTACCTGGTTAGTGGGTGGGGCTACCTGGTTAGTGGGCGGGGCTATCTTCGCAGTGGAGGGGTTACCTGAGCAGTAGGGGTGGCTACCTTTCCATCTCTTACAGACTTGCTCAATTCAAGAAACACATTAAACTCCTATCAAGAGTTGCGATTGTTGCTGGCCGCTTTGCGTTTTGAGCCAATGGGCCTACTGTGCCGAGCAAACGTGATTTAAAAAGGAAAAACGAGGCCACGAGCTGCTGCCATCAATATTTCCCCTGACTTGAGCGTTGGTCGTAAGAGGTTGGCAGGTGGAAGCATCAATCAATCGATCGATCTTTGTTTTAGGTTCCAATATCGCCCTCAATAAAATAGTGCATCGGTGCACATTCCAGCGTAAGAAAAGGTAAGTAGTAAATACAAATACAAATTAAAAAGTAAAGAGACGGTTTTTGTTAATTTAAATTCAGTCAATCAATTGATGACACGGGGAGGGGTGGAGGGAGGGATGAGTCCAAGGAAATGGTGCAGCTGATCCGGGCGAGGTCTCCGTGTGTTGCACAATCGAGCTGAGAGGTCCACTCAGGCACGCGCTCTAGTGGTGCTGGTGGTGGTAGCGGTGGGGAGTTGGTGGGTCACGAGCAGATGTTTTAATCTTCACAGGGCCGCGAGGTTTTGGCTTAACAGCAAGTGGGTTTGTCGAGTGGCGTGTGTATCTCCCTGTGTGTGTGTGGTGGATTTTCTCCAGGCGAGCATCCCAATGTAGCGGGACCCTTATGACAAAAAGTCATCCTGAAACTCAGTGAGGCTTCCCTGTGTAAATGAATAAACTGTGTACGCTGCCAGCAGAATGTTTACCATTTCCGAGGCAATGAAATGAAGAATTGTTCAAAGCTGGAAGAATAAATTAACGGATGTTAATTAAAAATGCGTGGACATTAATCGCCATCTAGCATGCTGCACTCATTTATCTTTACGTGTAATTTAACGAAATAAAAAAAATACAAATTTTATGAATTAATTACTTCGCTGCTATTACGAGCCAAAAGGCAGCTTGGCTGGTGATTAATGTTGACCACTCACAGTGTAGATTATCACGTGCTGAAACATTTCTGTAAGTTTTATCCTCCGTGTCCCTTGTCCAATCTGCTCCCTGGTTCCTTGTCCGCTCAACGACAACCACCACGACCAACATCACCACTGCCAACACAATACCACCACCACTACCTACCACTGCTACCACTGCCACAAATACCACCACTAACACTAACATCTCCACCGTGATCATCACAACCACCACTGCGACCACTACCACGACCACCACCACCATTACCACCAACATGGCCAACATCATTTCCACCACCACCACCACCACCACAAAATTTCCCATCACCTCCACCACCCATTTCACCATCAACATCGTAACCTCTAACACCACCAACATCTCCACAACCTGTACACCCACAACCACCACCACCACCACTTGCACCATCTTCACCCCAAAAACTATCACCACCATTTGTACCATAACCACCATCACCACCACTATCTCTGACACCTCCACCACCACCACCACCACCAACCACCACCACCACCAACCACGCTCATCCACAGCCGGTGAAGATCGAGGAGGACTTCTGTGGCCTGGACACGAACCAGCCCCTGGGGGGTCTCTCGCGCATCGAGGGGGTCCCGCTCCTCGCGGCCGAGCCCGGCGACGGCATGACGTCGGTCATCTCCTACGTGCACGGCAACCACACGGTGGTGTTCGCCGGTACGGCCGGGGGCAGCCTCAAGAAGGTGAGCGACTCGTGGCCGCGTCGACCCGAACACACCGCGTCATTGTGTCGCCATCTTGGCAACGTGGCCTCGTTGGCAACGTCGCCACCGGAACCGTGGCACGATGTCACCACGTCTCGATATCTCGGTCACCATGTTGACGCGTCGTCGCGTGACCACGTTAGCACGTTACCATGGCACCACGGCACCATGTCATCACGTTACCATGGCACACGCGTCACCGTGCCACTGTGTCACCACATTACCACGTCACTGGATCACCACGTCACTGGATCACCACGTCACTGGATCACAACATCACTGGATCACCACGTAACCATGGCACCACGTCACCGCTTCACCACGTCACCGTGCCACTGTTTCACCACATTACCACGTCACTGGATCACCACGTCACTGGATCACAACATCACTGGATCACCACGTAACCATGGCACCACGTCACCGCTTCACCACGTCACCGTGCCACTGTTTCACCGCGCCACCGCATCGCCACGTCACCACATTATCACTTCTCCATAGGCCGTGAGAAACAATCAAAGGACGGCAAATCAATCGCAGCCGTTCCGTCACAAAAAGCACAAAACCAAAACACCACCACCGGCTGCGAGCCAGCGAGCGAGCGAGCGAGCGACAGATGGTTGACCCTTATTCAACGCGACGGCGAAATCACCGAGCGCCGCGTGTCCCGCAAAAGCGAGCGCAACTTCTTCATCGCGAATCGCCGCCACTCGCGGGCGGGCGGTGGCCGGCCTCTCCTCCCCTGTCGCTGGTGCTGCGGAGCGACCGGGCGGAATTAGCAGCTCGGAGCGATGGGCGAAGTTCCGCCAAGACAGGGGCAAGAGAGAGAGAGAAAATAATAAAGAAATAAAATAAGCAATTAAACCGCAAAACAAAAAGAAACGAGCGCACGCACACTCTCGCTCTCACACCATCGTACCAGCTTTGAGGCTCGCGGGTGACCTATTTGCGCCGACTTGCCCTTAAAACCTGCCAATTTGTGTCGGAGTGAGGCTGCAGACAGCAAATTCAAATCCCAAGCATGCGTGAAAGGGATTTTTTTTGCTGTTGTTTTGTTCGAACCACGTGGCCGAGGCCACAGCCTTCATTTCTTACACGGCCTCGCGCCGCTGGTTAACTCTTTGCCTTGCGCCTTCAAAAAGAACCTCAAGGATGAAAGGCGACTCTGATAACTTTTTTTACATCGTTTTAAATCACTAATATTATTACTATGCGTCGTTATGGACATTGCAAGATCCGACCATGTCGGTCCAGTGCTTGCTGAGCTGCATTGGCTTCCGGTTGCTGAACGAATACGGTATGAGGTCACACTCACGACACACAAAGTGATTGCCACAAATGAACCACAATACCTTGCTGATCTCGTCACGGAGCATGAACCATCCTCGCAGGCCGCAACAGTAGCTTTTGTCAAATCCATCGAACAAAGACGGGCGCAGCGTCGCACGGTGCTTTCAGATGCGCTTCTGCGGCCGTCTGGAATGCTCTCTTCCTTCTGATATTAGGAAGCCACTGGAACTGTGCACTTTTAAATCATCTCGATTGAAAACTAATTTCTTTAGGGCGGCTTTTTTGTGTTTAGTTATTTGTCCTTTCTCCTGCACCCCCGATTAGCGCGGTTGGCTACGTACGGTGTGAAAGAAGTTCAACATACACACATTCTTATTGCAGACGTGGCTGTAAAAGTGATGACTAGGAGATGGCGGACCGGCTTGAAATCTGTCCTACGCCAGAAGTGAATTCTTTATTTCTCCAGGAGAGCGGCACTGAGTCATGATACTCTTTCCAAGAGGGTCCTGCCACTGCACTGGGGCGACACGGTGGCTAGGAGATGTTAACTACCTCGCCCGGTATACAGGAGGTCGTGGGTTCGATCCCGACCCTGACGCCTCGATATTTGGAGTTTGCGTGTCTCTCTGCCCGTGGTCACGTGGGTTTTTCTCCGGGTCTTCCAGTTTTTCCCACCACATTTAGAATCAGCATGCGTTTAGCTGCGATATGTTCCCACATAAGCCACTTCTTTGCGCTATTATTTGTGACCAGGTCGCGTCTAAAAAATAGCTATTCTAGCTCTGTGAGCCTTAATTAGTAAAATAAATAAAAAAAGTTAAATAGGTACGAAGTGGCGAATCGCTATGAGCAGCCTTTGATCTGCCGCGCTGGCTGCAATTATTTACGAAAAATGTAAAAGCAAAATGGAAATCGATAGGAAATCTTTGTAGCCACCGTCAACCACTCGAGCGCGGGTAAGAGGTGCGTGGGAAACGCGACGACTCGTGGTGACCGCTGACGCTCTCAACGAGCATATAACGAAAACAACCCTCCCAACCCCCCCGCAGTATGAGATATTTAACCTTTATCTTTTCTAAGCTGGCTACATACAAATTCGGAACTTTCGCGTCGCAGTTCCGTGTGCACGCATTGGCTATCATCGTCGTCGTCGTCGTCATCATCATTATCATCGTCATCATTGTCAACATCATTATCTTTTGGTAAAGTCACGTAGGCATGAAATAAAATAAATCACGACGTTTCGGGCGCAACACAAGCGTCCGTCATCAGGTGGGAAAGCATGGTGACCACCTGGTGTTGCGCCCGAAACGTCGTGATTTATATTATTTTATACCTACGTGACTTTACCGAAAGAACCAAAGAGAACGGATTCCTGCAGGCACGAAAGCTTCAAATCAAGATTGAACATCATTATCGTCGTCGTCATCACCATCGTCATTGTCATCAACATCATCATCATCGTCATCGTCGTCGTCATCATCATCATCGTCGTCATCATCATTGTCATCGTCGTCATCATCAGCTGTATTCTTTTGGTTAAGCGCTTTTTGCTCGATCCATGCCACTGTTTCCCCGTCATCATAATTCGTAAAATGTGAACGGCACGCGGCATCTGCTGGGCTTGGCGTTCGGATGAGCTCGCAAGACACGTGCCACCTCTAATGGGAAATTACACGCTCCGGGTTCATCGCCGATTCGCTCGTTACACCGCGCGGTTTGTCCTCCCTCCTCGAGCCGCGACGGACAGCGAGGCTTGGATTCGCGAAGGCGTCCACATTTCCGCCGCGTCTCCAACACGCAACGGCTGCTTGACCGTGGAGTGGTGGCGCGGTGGTTAGCGCTGCGCTGCTACCTACGAACACAGAGGTTCGTCTCCCTGCCACGGCTAACGCCAGTGGCGGTTTATGTTCGGGTGCCCCTCGTCGCCAAAGCCCCATCGACTAGCGCGGTGAAGTATGGTCAATAAAGCCCCCCACGATTGACGTGGAGCGGCAGAGGCACTCACAGCGGCGGCGGATTGATTAAGGGCTGTGAATTGTTATCTGCGATGGGTGCTGTCGAAGGGACGTGGATGTGAGAAGCGATCTAAAATTATCTGCTTGTTCATTGCGATTTTGCTGCGGTCTAATGGTGAGCAGCACACAGCGCGGGCTTGCAATCCAGAGGGTTACCGGTTCGATGCCCTCTCCCGGCCCGGCGGGTCGCGTGCGGTGGGGTAAAGAGTGGGTAACTTCCACGTCTTCCAAGACGTCCGTCCGCGCGTGGAAGAGTAGGCCAAATACTCCACTTGCGCCGGCAGTGCCGCGAGTAAACGATTTCAGGGCTGCCCCTTTACATTTCATGTTCACTCATTCGTCCATCACCATCGTCGTTGTCGCCGTTATTTTGATGGTGCTATCCCCCCACAAAACCCCCATCGGAGCTCACGACGTAAACGAAAACTTCCCGAGGCAATCAGCCGCGGGGAGCTTTGAAATCACCACGAGGCTGGCACGGCGCTGGCCTTTCCGCTGTGTCAGTTTATTTCTTGATTTACACGTTGTTCCCTGTCGCTCGCGAGGAGCGAACAAGTCGATAGTACCCTTCCAGCCGGACCGCTGGAGCGTCTTGTCTCAGCTCCTCCGCGCTAAATTGCTGTGGCATTGAGTGCGCCGCCTTTAGCCACGGGCTACTGGGCTCGAACGAGGCGGTTCCGACCGCGTAGGAGGGCAGATGGGTGTGTGGGCAGGCGGGTGGATGGGCAGGCGGGTGGATGGGTGTGTGGATGGGCAGGCGGGTGGATGGGTGTGTGGATGGGCAGGCGGGTGGATGGGTGTGTGGATGGGCAGGCGGGTGGATGGGTGTGTGGGTGGGCAGGCGGGTGGATGGATGTGTGGATGGGCAGGCGGGTGGATGGGTGGGTGGATGGGTGGGTGGATGGGCAGGCGGGTGGATGGGTGTGTGGATGGGTGGGTGTGTGGGCAGGCCGGTGGATGGGTGTGTGGGTGGGCAGGCGGGTGGATGGGTGTGTGGGTGGGCAGGCGGGTGGATGGGTGTGTGGGTGGGCAGGCGGGTGGATGGGTATGTGGGTGGGCAGGCGGGTGGATGGGTGGGTGTGTGGGCAGGCGTGTGGATGGGTGGGTGTGTGGGTAGGCGGGTGGATGGGTGGGTGTGTGGGTAGGCGGGTGGATGGGTTTGTGGGTGGGCAGGCGGGTGGATGGGTGGGTGTGTGGGCAGGCGTGTGGATAGATGTGTGGATGGGCGGGTGGATGGGTAGGTGGATGTGCGTGTGGATGGGTGGGCAGGCGAGTGGGTGGATGGGAGGGTGTGTGGTCAGACGGGCAGCCCCCGGAGCGTCTGGATGGTGCTGGAAGGCACGGAACCTCGCTTCCTTCTCGTGGCTCTGTAAACCCCCCGCCCCCCGCCCCCGTGCCCGTCCCCCCACCCGTGCCCGTCCCTCCCTTTATACATTATAATAGAAGAGTTTTTTTGCTCAATATATTCTCAAACTTTGCTGCAGTTTAGACAGTTGCTATGCGCTTTGTCTTTGTTTATGTTGTTGTTGTTGGTAAAAGAAAAGCTGCACGCATCTCAACATTTCAAGTGTCGGGTGGACGGTCATGCGTGGCGCGAGTGGTGTGCGAACCAGAGATACCAACACCGGCACACATCGTGCGAAAAGAAAAAAAACCCAGATAATGATGTCC